GACATAAAAGTCTTGGATCAGCCCAACCTAAATGAGGAAAAGAAAAGCACATTAGGTATGCCCATTTTCCCTAAATTACTTTGGATAACTTTCTTTTTAAGAGCATTATTCTTGCAACAAGATGATCCTTTTGAATGCTGTGCAGTTTTACTACTTAATATACTGGCATATACGCTCCGTTATTATAGTCCAAGTGTAGATCAGTGTCCAAGTGATAAAGGCCTTAATACAGTTTTACCCAAAACGGGAGAATGAATTGTGGAATACAGGTAGTCCTTGATTTACTACCGTTTGCTTAGCAACCATTCAAAGTTACAGTGGCACTAAAGAAAGTGCCTTTGAGACTCATACTTACAACCATTGCAATATCCCCATGGTCATGGGATCAAAATTCAAGCACTTGACAACCAGCCTGTATTTATGAGGGTTGCAGTGCAGTGTCCCAGAGTCATGTGATCGCCATTTAAGATCTTCTCAGCTGTTTTTTGACAAGCAAAGTCAATTGGGGAATATTTTTTTTAAAAAACTATCTGATTCACTTAACAACTGCAGTGATTTGCTTAACAAGCACGAAAAGTAAAGTTGTAAAATCAAGTATGACACAATTAGCAATTGCCTTGTTTGGCAACAGACATTCTAGTCCAGTGTTTCTCAACCTTGACAATTTTAAGGCATGTGGACTTCAACTCCCAGAATTCCATAGCCCTCTCGTCACCTCTCGCCTGGACTACTGTAATGCTCTTTACATGGGGCTCCCCATGGGGAGCATCCGGAGGCTCCAGCTGGTCCAGAATGCGGCCGCGCGGGCGGTGCTGGGGGCGACACGTCGCTCCCATGTAACACCGCTGCTGCGCGAGCGGCACTGGCTGCCAGTGGCCTTCCGGGTACGCTTTAAGGTGCTAGTCACCACCTTTAAAGCGCTCCATGGCATCGGTCCTGGCTATCTCCGAGACCGCCTTCTGCCGCAGATTCCCTCCCACAGGCCGGTACGCTCCCACAGAGCGGGCCTCCTCAGGGTGCCATCGGCCAAGCAATGTCGGCTGGCGACCCCCAGGGGGNATAAATAAATAAATAAATAAATAAATAAATAAATTACGATGAATAGCGAGATGTGTAAATAAACTTTTTATTGTATCAAAAATACAATGTCGTATTGAGAATAAAATGGCCCAGGGGGTTCATAGGTTATGATAGGCCCAAACAGAGAATCTGTGCCATTGGTTCTGATTTCTGTATCTTTGATATCTGCATCTTTCTTCATAAAACCTTTTATTTGAGCCCCATTTTGTTTCTTTGAAGTCAGATAATATGTGAAAACAGCATTCTTAAAAAAAATGTCCTAGATAATATTTCAGGAATATATTATTAAATGTCTGTTAGACCAATATTAAACATAATATTTACTTTAATTTTCATAGTACTTGGAGCCAGTGCTGTGATTTCTTTCTGCATACGATCACCAATACCGGGGTACATGGTGGTTCCTCCAGAAAGCACATTATTGGCATAAAGATCTTTACGGATATCAATATCACATTTCATTATGCTGTTATAAGTTGTTTCATGGATTCCAGCAGATTCCATTCCTGTAAAGAAATAAAATTAACTGATCAAAGATTTCAAAACAGACCGCTTTATCAAGTCGGTGGTGAGTATCTGCTAAAAATGCAATAGATGATTGTATATTGTTTGATAATCTATTTTAGTTGTTCAGCCAAATGCATGATTTTTAAAATCCATTTTATAAAGACATCCAGATTTTATTTGGATGTCTTTATAAGGAAGGCGTTCAAAAAGTATCTACTGACATGATTAAATAGTCACAGAATTTATACCCCAGCAGTCTACATGTAGATGTGTAAATAAATTTCTCCTGTCTTGTCAATTTGAAACTCTACAAATATTCGTGTCAATATAAAAATCAGATCCAAAGGCATTTTTATTTTTTGAAAACTCTTACACTCTTTCTGACCATAAAACAAATCAGCTAGGCAACAGTCACAAGGCAGACACATACACAGGTTCACTAAGACAGAGTTCCCCAACTTTTCCGGCTTGGCGGACTGGCGGGGGGAGGGGATGAGTCTGCACGAGTGGGAATGTGCAAGCAAGTGCATGCGCTCACCTGCCGTTTCTGCAGCCCGGTTGTAAACAAATCATAGCTCACTAGTGGGCCATGGTCCAGAGGTTGGGGACCCCTCCACTAAGACATTCATGACTTACTTCAACAAGAGCTCTAGGACACTTAAAGCATAAGTGTAGTTTTGTACCACTAAACTTCATCTTTGTTCAGCAGACTCAAGCCACACAAAGAAGAGGAACATGTCCAGGCCTACCTATAAAGGATGGCTGGAAGAGAGTTTCAGGGCATCGAAACCTTTCATTGCCAATTGTGATGACTTGGCCATCGGGAAGTTCATAGCTCTTCTCCAAAGAAGATGAAGAAGCAGCAGTAGCCATTTCATTCTCAAAATCCAGAGCCACATAGCATAACTTTTCTTTAATATCTCGCACAATCTCATGCTCCGCTAAAAATAGCCAAACGAACATTAAACAAGGAGGACAATTGAAACAAGATTGAATAGGGGGATGAAGGGATTATTGTAATGTTAAGGAGGGACAAGGGTTCTGTAATTGCAATAAAGAAAGGAATAAAGTTGGTCATGAACAACTTTGGTTAATCTAAAACATAAACAGTGCTTAGGTTTCTCAATAATATTGTATTAATACAGATTAATGATAACCTTTTGATGAGAAAAGACAGGTAGCACTTTATGCTGTTTTTATGGCTAATATTGTGGGCAAACAAAGCAGCTTTAAGAAAAGTGCTGATTACCGGTAGTAACAAAAGAATATCCTCTCTCTGTAAGAATTTTCATGAGATAATCAGTGAGATCTCTACCAGCCAGATCTAGTCTCTTGATAGCATGTGGCAGGGCATAACCTTCATAGATAGGTACATTATGTGTCACGCCATCTCCAGAGTCCAGAACTATTCCTAGGAAAGCAGAAACAGAGTGTCAATATTTTTCATTGCAGCCCTCACACTTCGCTTTTTAACATTTTTGACTCTGAAAGGAAAGATTGTAGGTTTTCCCCCCACTTGTGTCTAATCATGGCACAAACATACCCTCAGAAAATCCGTTTTGTTCAAGTACTACAGTATGCTTGGCATTTGTTTCATCCATGCTTCAAATTACTTTTCATATTTGAATATCTAAAGTTATTTAATTGTATAATATTACATGCAAGAATAGAGACAATATGCCATACTTCAACATTTGTCTAGCACAATATCACTGATATAGAAGCAAGCTTCCCTATATGAAATCAATAAGGAGTATTTCCTCCAAAAGTTTGGTAGGATAAAATTTAATTATTGTACTATGTATCAGTGCTCAATGTAAGAGAAAATGGAAGGTAATGGATATATTCATAGACATACATTTTTTTAAAAAGGGAATAGAAACTACAATCCAAATTTACCGGTAGTTCGTCCAGATGCATACAAGGAGAGAATGGCTTGAATGGCCACGTACATTGCTTGTACGTTGAATGTTTCAAACATTATCTGTAGATTAAAAGTTTTTAGCAACTCCAAATATGGAGAACAGCATATTTAGTCCTACGCTAAGACATGGGACAGACATTATCTCAAGAGCATACAACTTGAAACAATGGAATTATGTTAAAGGATGTAAATTTCAGATAAATATTAGGGATTTAAAAACATCTATCATTATGAGCAATTTCACAGTAAATCTAATTTCAAAGGGGGATGGTGAGAAACCTTGCACTAGTTGTGCTCTAGTGAAGGCTAGAGAGCCACCCACAGGAATGCTTCCATTTGGATTCCTGCAGTGAACAGGGGATTGAATCAAGGCCCATGTGCTTCTTCTAGCATGATGGTTCCAAAAAAGAGGAATAGTTTGCCTCCCAAAGCATTCTGAGGCAACAGTGTTTGTCTGCACTGTCATGGATAAAATATCTGACATACTGTAACTGCTGTGTTATTTTATAATTGATTATTTTAATGTTTTTTAATGTTTTTATGTTGCAAGCCACCAATGTCATTGGACATGAGATGGGTGGCAAATAAATTTCATAATAATAAAATATCCATCAGATGTCAATCGTCTATATTAGATATGCAGGGGCAAGATTCGTATGCCATAATGTGACTGGGGAGGGGAAACGGGGTTTTGTAAGGTATTCAGACTACCATATAAATTCTTAGCTAGCATTTCTATCAACATTGGCTTGTTTCAACCAGTCTGACAAATCATAACTTATTTTTTAATTTGTTTTTATTTGTTCGTTGTTTCCATCTATTCTTCTCTTTCAGAGCTGCAGTTCTTTTGTTTAAATTGTTTCCTGCTCTGTGGCTAAAACAATCTTTGTTTGGTGTCAAGGATAGCACTGTCCATCCTATGTAATAATGCTCACCTGTCAAACTGAAGGAAAAGTAGTTTGACTCAGAGAAGTAGGATATTAAAAACTTGCCTCAGGCTATGATTTAAATTAAGGAGGTCATGGCACAAATATGGCGAGATAAGAACTAACCCTAAACAAGAAAATAGATTAATAGATCTTTATATCAGGAATAAATACCTCTATTGATGGCTTATCGTGAAATTATATTTTTGTGGTTATTACATGACAATTTTTTTTTGCTCAGAAGGAAGGCAGTTCTTAATTTGAAAAGAAACAATATCCAAATAATTACCTGAGTCATTTTCTCTCGATTAGCCTTGGGATTTAAAGGAGCTTCTGTGAGCAGTACAGGATGCTCTTCAGGGGCAACACGAAGTTCATTGTAGAAAGAATGATGCCAAATCTAAAGATGGAGAACAATTTTTATTGAGTATCAGGTATAGAGAATGACACATCAATGAAAAATGAAAAATGACTGAAAATGGGAATTCACTCTTATGCAAATTTTTATTTGCACTGAGGAGTCTATGCTCCCTCTGAGGCTGATTTAATTTTACAACATTTCATATAATTGGAGAGCTGCATGTTTCATTTAGTCCCATACATGAAACATTTAGACAGCCACTATCCAGAGCCTTCATCACATGAGCATGACAGATACTCCTGCCACTTTGTAACAACTACAAAGGAAGTCCTTATGCAGCACTCTTGCTGCAAGCAGTATTAAGGGACAACTCCCTACCAGGAAGATGTCGTTTAAGTGATACCAGGCGGGTAGGACATAACCAGAACATCCATGAGATTTTCCTTAATATTCCCATAATATGTTTTCATATAAGCTCTGGCAGCAAATGCTTCAGACAGCCATGATTGAAAGCACTGTTACAGAGACCTGAATCTGAGATTTTTGAAATTTTTACTGCTTCACAAATTTTCATTACAGCGACTTTCAGAATTGTCCATAATGGAAAAAGTTGCCCAAGGGATTCAAGTGTAATATATTACATACTAAATCAAAGGCTTGTCATTCTATTCATATATAATGACTAGATTTCCCCTATTTTGTGTCTATTTTTTTGCATTTTATGAGTGCTAAAGGGAAACCACTTGGTTTTCCACCAGCAATGGCATTTCAAATTTTAAAATTAGATGTAAGGAAGTGCTAAGAATGATTTCCCTTCTATGTGCTATGAAAGAACAATGAAGATTAAAAATAATGCTACGTTCTTGTCCTTTCCCTTTTCTGCACCAGATATGTTGAATGCAGATGAACCCAGATCTAGACTCCATGATTTTGCATTTCATTTAGCACCATGTGACATCTACTATGAGAAATCTGGCCACAGCACATAAATCTGTGTGCAATGTTTCAAAATTGCTCTAACAACAGTTGTTCTGTTCTCGCTGCTTCATTTAATTCTGTGCATGCTATCATCCAAGTTCAAGTTGCCGACTAGATCATTTGGAGCAGAGTTCCTGCTGTTGAATGCTGTTGAGGGTCTCAGAAATCAGTTGAGACAGCCAAATACTGGAGCTCCTGTAATTTATCCCTCTCAACATTTTATTTATTTGTTAAATTGATATGCCACCCATCTCCCATGAATGTGATGGGGGAAAAGGTGGTTAACAGTGGTTAGTATGCAGTATTGCAGGCTAACTCTGCCCACTGCCAGTTCAATCCTGACCAGCTCAAGGTTGACTCAGCCTTCCATCCTTCTGAGGTCGGTAAAATGAGGACCCAGATTGTTGGGTGGCAATACGCTGACTCTGTAAACTGCTTAGAGAGTGCTATAAAGCACTGTGAAGCGGTATATCCTAAGTGCTATTTCTATTGAGATCAAATTCTGTGAGAAAATAGTACCACAGGAAAAAACAGTAGGGAGAAGGTAAGTAGGGAGAGAGAAAAGTAGGTCCAACAAAAAAGTAAATGATTTAGTTTTGGGATGATAATTGGAAGAGAAGCAGGGACCCAGTTGTACCCAAATATAACCTTACCCATTGGCCCCCTCTCGGATACAGCTACTCATTTCTCTATGTTTTCTTTCACTGTGGTCTTCTGCGTAGGTCCACTCTGCAATAGGATCCACTGACTACATTCTCATTTCCTCCCGATACAAACATGTTGAGATTGCACATTCCCATTCTGAATTATACCATCTTGATTTCTACCTGTTTCCTGCGATCTAATTGTAGCTTCTCTTTGCTCTACTGTAGGAGTGTCAAACTCGCAACGTCACGTGACGTGTTGCAACATACTGTGACTTTTTTCCCATTGCCGGCAATGGGGTGGGCGCGGTTTCAGCATGACACATCCAGCCCGTGGACTGGCAGTTTGACACCCCTGCTCTAATGCGTAAGTCAGAAGTGGATAACATTTTCAACAAAAAAAAAAAGATATATAAGTTGGATACTCAAGTAAACAATGTAATTACTTTTGCCAGTTAAGTCATTTTTTTTTCTGCCATAAAGGTGATTTCTCTGTATTTCTTGTGAAAGGAAAAATCTCTTTAGGAAAAAGGGTTTCTCCTCGCCTCCTATTTTTTGTAGGTGATGATTACCTGCCCCCAAGTCTCTTGTGACTAAACTATAAACTTAGTTTCTAAGGTTCTGGACTGACTTGCAGCTGAGGCAGTTTAAGAAAAGGCTCTGAAGGCTCTGAAGATGTATTTATTATTTATTATTAAATTTATTATTTAATCAATTTCTACAGTCCATGACTATGGAGGCAAACAATGCAGGTAGTCCTTAACTTATAACCATTTGTTTAGTGATCATTCAAAGTTACAATGGCACTGAAAAAAGTGAATTACACCCAGTCCTCACACTTACGACAGTCACAGTGTTGCCATTATCACTTGAGCAAAATTCAGCAACTGGCATGTATTTACAACAGCTGAAGCCTCCTAAGTCATGTGATCACTTTTTGCGACCTTTCCACTGGCTTCCAACAAGCAAAGTCAATAGGAGAAGATGGTCATTTAATGACCACGTGATTCACTTAAAAACTGAAGTGATTCACTTAATAAACATGGCCAAAAAGGTCATAAAATCAAGTGCAATTCACTTAAGAACCAACTTGCTTAGCAACAGAAATTATGGTGTCAATTGTGGCCGTAAATTGAGGACTACCTGTAATAAAAGTTGGGCAGTTAATCCAGACACCTGATGAACAATGAGCTAATTCTGGGTTCATTTGTCTTTATGCTCAACTGCCATAGAAAAGCAGTCCTTTAGTAGCCCAAGGAAAGCTCCTCCACTTTTGGAACTTTCATAGGATTATACTGGGATAGGGTAAGATTGAAGAGATCAATTTGTTGTGGGCAACATGTGAAAATCTGGCTACGGTGCCAGATTTTGTTTTAATAATAATAATAATAATAATAATAATAATAATAATAATAATAATAATAACAACAACAACAACAACAACAACAACAACAACAATTGCAAAAGGCGGCCTTACTAGGAACTGCTTCCATCCTGTGACGATATCTGTAATACCATCAAACATCCACATCTGCCTATCCCAGGTCCTGGGTAAGGACTCGATAGGTAGACAAAATGCCAAATCCAGTCTGAACATCTGGCTGACTGTGCGATGATCCATAATAATAATAATAATANCAGGCAGGAAACCCTATACCATTTCAGACAAATGGCTGTCCAGTCTCTTCTTAAAAACTTCCAGTGTTGGAGCATTCACCGCTTCTGGAGGCAGGTTGTTCCACTGGTTAATTGTTCTAACTGTCAGGAAGTTTCTCCTTAGTTCTAGGTTGCTTCTCTCCTTGATTAGTTTCCACCCGTTGCTCCTTGTCCTGCCTTCAGGAGCCTTGGAAAATAGCTTGACTCCCTCTTCTTTGTGGCAGCCCCTGAGATATTGGAACACTGCTATCATGTCCCCCCTCGTCCTTCTCTTCATTAAACTAGACATACCCAATTCCAGCAGACTTTCCTTATATGCTTTGGTCTCCAGTCCCCTTTTTATCTTTTGGTTATGAGCCTCCCAGTGTTGGGTACAAAATGGATGGCCAATGTTTTAAATAAAATAATAAAATAAACTTTTATTATTATTATTTAATCAGATTACTGAACATGGGTGGAGATGATGAAACAAAACTCAGCCCTTCCCAATGAAGGCAGAGAGGTGACTGTTAGAGGACCTGGAGGGCAGGAGAGGAAGCCTTGCTAACTACCCTCCCTGCTTCTGAGCTTTTAATGATTTAGCATATTTGGATAAACACAGCTGGGAATCCCAGGAGACAAAGCATTGAGCAGCCACAGCAAAGAATGTATCACAGATGCCGCCTTTTAAACTTTAGAACTACTTGACAACATAGGAAATAGAAATGAAAGGGGAAAGGGGGAATTACAGAGATGTAGTGGGAATAATTAGGGCTGTGAATGGGATCCATTGAAATGTCATTTATGGAAAAGCTATGCTACCATCTACAGGATGAAGTATGTCATTCCATTTCCCCCACCCCGTCCTCAAAAAAAGCACAGCATGTCTATGGAGATTCTCCATAGAGCAGTGTTTCTCAAGCTTGGCAACTTGAAGAGGTATGGACTTCAACTCCCAGAATTCCTCAGCCAGCACAGCTGGCTGAGGAATTCTGGGAGTTGAAGTCCATACCTCTTCAAATTGTCAAGCTTGAGAAACACTGCCATAGAGAGAATCTATGCATAATTGAAGAAGCTTCTTGGATGAGAAGCGAAATGTTTTCAAAGAAAAATAAAATTCCAGGTGCCTTTTGGAAAAGCACCTTTGGGATAGTAAGTAGCACAGCAGTTCTTACAATCAGCTAAAAGGGCAAAGAAAGGATGAGGCAGGTTCTGAAGGCTGTGGGAGAAAAACTAAGAAATTCTCATCCTAACCTATCATTTCCATTGAGTCCTTAGATATGAGCCAGCATGTGAAAACCAAAGTCTCTAAACTTCTGTTAAAGCAATCACATAGAAGCAAGCAAGCAAGCAAGCAAATACAAATTATGCCAGAACAGAGCACACATTCAATCTGGATCTCTATAAAAGTTTCAGCATGGAAGCAACAACTGAGCTATGCTTAAGACTATTCCTTGTCATAGATATGCTCCCTCTCTTCTATATGGGATCTTGTTTATTCACAGAGCAGAAATATAAGCAAACATATATCAATGTGCATTGCTGCGCACTTAGCATTTCCAGCTGTGATGATCTTGTGGCCCAGATGAGTGTGTGGGAATAACATAGCCACAAAAAGTATGACCTCAAGAAAAATAATAATCAAGGATACCCCCCCCCCGTTTTTTTGGTGCAGAAAGGGAGACTTTATATTGCACTGTACATAAAGAAACCCTCTGATTGGTTCCAGTTCAGAGGAATTAGCTAGCTCATTGGTGCAGGTAAGATTACCTGACATTTTCAAAAGTAGCAAATCATTGGGAGTCACAAAAAGCACTCACCTTTTCCATGTCATCTCAGTTTGTGATAATACCATGCTCAATGGGATATTTCAGGGTCAGAATTCCTCGTTTACTTTGTGCTTCATCCCCAACATAGCTGTCTTTCTGGCCCATCCCTACCATAACTCCCTGCAAAATGTATCAATCAAAGGAAAACATCACCATTAACACTGTATCACAAACATTACATAGACCAGTGGTGGCGAACCTATGGCACGGGTGCCAGAAGCAGCACTCAGAGCCCTCTCTGTGGGCACACGCGCCATCGCCCCAGTCCTAGGCCTTCAGCTGGGTTTTATAAAACCTTTTTGCTTTAAACCTCCGCCGCCGTGTGCAAAAAAAAAAAAAAAAGGTTCAATCAATCAATCAATTTCAACTTCTCGCGGGGGAAAAAAAGATCTTGCAAAGTTGGAATTGATTGATTGAACTTTTTAGTCCCACCCAGTCTGCCATTACCACCGCAGCCACGCCCACCCAATGGGCCACGCCCACCCAATGGGCCACACCCACCCGGCACCCGACGATGCATAAGTGGGTTTTGGATTGCAGTTTGGGCACTCGGTCTCTAAAAGGTTCGCCATCACTGACATAGACTAACTAGTGTCTGGTGTAATTCAGCATCAGCATCAACAATAAGAGGGGTAAATTCTTTTATTCTGCTTTGGTCTGTGTCTTTGGCAATCCCACACAATTCCTTTCATTGCTTTCTCTGCATAGATAAGTCAACACTCCTCTTCCTAAAGCAGACATCTATAACAGCTAGACAATAGTATTATAAAATCTCTGATAATGATACGTTACATAGGGCATAGGCTATACTATGATAGAATCAGTCATTGTGAATTTATAGGTAATCCGCATTTAATATCCACTCATTCAGCAACCATTCAGGATCATGACACTACAGAACTAGGGGTTCTTATAAGTGTTCTTATAATTGTGGCTGTCACAGCATTCCCACACTTGGCATTCACCTGATCATTATTTGCAACATTCACTGCCATCTTCTAAAAAAGTCAGTGAGGAAGCTGGCAGGAGATTGCAAATGGAGATCATGTGAGTGCAAGATGCTGCAACCATACAGGATTCACCTAATGACAGGACTGCCAGAACTGCTGTCATAAGTTAGTGTGGTCATGTGACATCACACCATATGTCTATGTTGCTTAGCAAAGGAGTTCCTGGTCCCAATTACTGTAAGTGAGGACTATTTGTACTATATTGTGTGGGACCAATACAAATTCCATAGGGCACTTTCAAGTTTCAATATTTGATTTACTTCAGTGGGAAAAAATGACCTGCTATATCACACATTTATTGGTACTCCTTTCCAAGCAAGTTGACTAAAGCTGAGGTTTCATGGAGGATTGTGGATTGCATTGATAAATAGGCATGTAAGATTGTTCTGTGGCTCTCCCATTAAAATCAACAAGATTTAATGTTTAATTATGCCCAAATTCTATGCCATACTTTAAATACTCCACAGCAGCACTCATCAAGACGTGATTTACTTTCCAATTATTCTATCTTTGCTTTTGATACACATTTAGAATTGCTAAGTCTGTTTTGCTTTCTTTAGCTTTCATTTTAAAATACTGATTTATTTGATGTTGTGATGTTCTTTTGAATTTTTTTATAAAGCTAAGTTTATTACATGGAGAATATTAAACTACAAGACATAAAAACAGTTCTGTAACTATGCCATATTTGTAAACTAAGTTATACAACAGAATTTAGTAACTTTTCTTTTTAAAATGCACATTGTAGGGTTTAACATGTAGGTGTGACACCCTGAAGACCATTCATAGAGACAATCTCATGTTTGGAAAATTATCTTTAATCCGTAAATTTTATTCCATTTCTTACAAGCTACCTTAATCAGTTGATTTCAAGTGACTTACACGGTCATTATTTATCTTACATGATCATTCATCTTGGGAAAAGAAATGATTGTCCTATGTTTTAAACATTATATTCTAGTCATTGATATGCAACATTAATAACTTCAAAGAATTAAACAATATTTTATCCTGAAATATTTTGTAGAAAGATCTAGACCAGGGGTAGTCAACCTTGGCTCTTTTATGACTCGTGGACTCCCAGAATTCCTGAGCCAGCATGGCTCAGCTTGGAAACCTCTCCCTTTCCCCTCAGTTTGGCTGGCTCAGGAATTCTGGGAGTTGAAGTCCACGAGTCATAAAAGAGCCAAGGTTGCCTACCCCTGATCTAGACCTATCACTAGGCAGCGCAGCTATTTACCTCAATTAGCAGAGGCTGAGTAGGATAGTAATTGCCAGGAGTTACAGGAAAGGTAAAATAAAGTCAAGATGGAAGTTGCAGCTGCATGATTTTCAAACACGCATCGCTCATCACAATACATGTAAAAAAAAGAACAAAGCTTCAATCTTGCAGTACATCTTGATCCTCCTCTGGATGGCAACTTCCTTGCTCTTTCTCTGAATCTCCTGCCATTTTCTTCTATTCACAACAAAGTTTGCTCACCACTTTGCCTGTTTTAGTCTCCTAAATTGGTCTGCTGCCTTCAGAAGTAGTGATCAGCTGAAGAAAAATTCAATACTAATTTCCTACATATGGAATGGGAGATATTTTTTTTAAAAAAATAAAAAAATACTGTTGGAGCAATCCCATTTTATAAATTGTTGAAAAATGTTCAATGGATTTTGAGATGTACTCAAATAAAATGCAGTGACTTTTAAAATCATCCATCTTCAGGGTTTTTTATTTATATTATTTAAACTGACCTGGTGCCGAGGTCGCCCAACAATAGATGGAAAGACAGCCCGGGGAGCATCGTCTCCTGCAAATCCAGCCTTACAAAGCCCAGAACCATTATCACAGACAAGAGCTGTGGTTTCATCATCACCCATGACTCCTCACTATCCTTTCAGCAAAAGTCAAGGAAAAAAAATAGGTCTGGAGTTTGGGAAATAATTTGAACTATCAAGCATCATTTACAGAAACAGGAAGCAAACCACATACTATAGCTTCTAATGAACTCAGAAAATATATACACAAATCAATTAATATGATAGTATTGATTTTAATTATATTCAAGCTGAAATAACCTGAAAAGGAACTGATTGTAAGATCTTTAAACCCATTTGTTTGTTTCTTAAATGATCCTCTTTCCGGGCAATAGTAGAACTTTTTTGTTTTTCTTAAGATACAAATAAAATATCCAACTACTCATAAGATGTTTATGTATGGGGTGAGAGGAACAAGCTTTTTTCTTCTTGACACCCCTTGTGCTCCTGAATATCTGTTCATGAGTTGGAAGCAGCAGTATGGAGATTATAAGAAAAGTCAATGAAAATGGATTCCACTCTTCTATCAGCAGAAGCTTTTGTTAGAACAAAGATAGCCAAAAATAGATATTAAGAACGAAGAGATAATTCAAAATGATGTCTTGAGGTACTTATTATACAGATAGCTGGTTCAATGGTTCAAGCAGCACAGATGGGCAAGATTAAACAGAATAAATAAAACAAGAATGATTAACAGTGTGAATGACATCAAGAGAAAGCTTTAGGATGCAGAGAAAACAGGAGAAAAACAACTCATAATTTTCCAAAGGTGCATGGATGTGCAGAAATAGAATAGCATTATAACAGGAGTCCTATTTCTGGATTTCAAGCACATTGAATTAGTATGTATGATTTCATGTATACAAATCTTTTTATAACATCCTCTACATTATTAAAAATCTTGGAAGGCTTCCACCTATAAAGAATATCCATTTGAAGCACAGTTGTGCATTCTTAGATGCCTTATCTATTTATTGCTAATCTTAGGCTCTACCTATTAGTCCATCCTGAGCACAAAGCTACATATTTTTTTACATTCTACTAGTAAACAGCTGGAAATAGGAGAAATGGCAATGCTTACACTCAAATCCAGTTGCTATTTTTAGAGGATTCACAGTATTATAAAGATTCTCATATAATATTCTTGACTGTTGAGTGGAAAAAAAATTGAGCGGAAAAGTCAGCTTCATTTCACATATTACAGCAGGGACTAACTCCACTGATATGTCTGTTCAGCTGCATGGCCAAAGACATCTCTTAGAAGTGTACATATAGAGGTGTAATCTCTTCAAACATGATAGGCATTTATCAAATTCTCGAGAAATCAAATTGAGGGTCTTAACTCTTGTGCATTCCACAGTAATGGTAGAAATTTGGGCAAGTTAACCTTCATGGAGGGAATTCAGTCTTGCTTTGAATTTGAGTAATTAAGCTAAATTTTCTGAGATACAGGAATATTTATTAGAATGGTAGGAGAGAAGTAATCTATTTCCTAATTAAATTTACTCCCTACCACCTTTAATTCACACAGATAGTGGGGGTGAGATAAGGAGGGATTTGCCTGGAGAGAATACTAAAATTTCCCTACTTTTCAGGTTAACTGTTGATTAAAAGTGTTTCAGAGCCTTAATACATGACTTACCCACACCTGATACAAGTATATTTAGCATAGACAGGAGAATCCTATTGATGTATCTTGCATAGATGCCTAATATCTCTATCTACAACCTCCTTCTTCAGTAATTAGATTCTGGGAGGTGGATCCAGGGAGCAGTGCTGCCTGCCTATTATTTTTTCTCATATGAAGACATCATTATGTAATTAACACAAGAAAGTATTTTGGCTTAGATTATGTTCAATTTGTACATAAAGCAAGTATATTATTTGAAGCTACTCTACAGCAGCAGCATATTCCTAACCCACCCATAATATAAACAATCTCAGCAGGAAAAATCTAAAAATAGACCCTCTCTGGAAAGCTTTGGATAATTCTTTGAAATGGCAGCTGTTCCCACTAAGTGTTCACTTACAAGAACTATTCTATATTTGTGAACTATGAGCCCTTATCAAACTAAGTGTTCTAGAAAGGGGAGTGAGATAGGACTGGGTTTGTTTACCACTAGCTGTACCCGGCTGCACGTTGCTGTGGCTCAGTCTGGTCAAATGGAAAAGAAAGAAAAGAAAAAACGCACATTTGTGTTGCTTTTACGTCCAACAGATGGCAGTTTTTTTAAAAAAGCATGTTTTTACCTGTCACAGGTGTGACATCTATATAATATAGGTATATAAAAACATGCGCATATTCGACTGCAACATTGTGTCAAAATTTCAAAGCAATCGGTGAAGAACTTTCGGAGATTTAAGATTTTGAACAAACAAACATTTACATTTTTATTTATATAGATAAATAACAAGTACAATTCTCTTGAAATTCTGAAGTTCAGCTCTAGGGCTAGATGCTTTTCCCTCACTTGTGCCAGATATTGATAATCAGCATGGTGTAGGAAAGAAATAATCCCATTTTTTTTCCTCTGGAAATAGAAATCCATTTTCCAGTGTACCTAAATCTCTGCTGAAAACATGTTTTTTCCATTCATCTTGCAATGGAGGCATTGTTCAATGGAGTACCTGTCAGAAGCCATTAGAATCCATATACTTTAGATTTTTACTGCATCTCTCAGTTAGACATATTGAATTGTACAACATGCTCTTGTTCCCAATAATCTTCCCTTTTTTTATTTAAAGAAGTCAGCCATCCAATAGAATTCAGGAGCTCAAAGAAATCCAAAGGTGATTTAGTAAGATTGACAAAGTGAATATTTCATTTTTTTAAAAAAGTGTAGTGCAATTAGCTAGAATTGAAAAGAACATTAAAATTTGATGCACTGAACTGTGTTTTTCTGCAATGTATTCAGAATACAGAGCATGCTTCTCTACCAAAAACAAATGGATTTCTTCATAAATGATGTAAAACAAAGACCTTTTGAATTTGCAAATAAAATGGGGACATGGCTGGCATACAAAATGCAAAAAGAAAATGGAAAGGTAATGTATTTTAGAAGTAAATACTGTAATAGCAGATAATGTGAATATGTGAAAGAATTCTAGCATCATGCCTCTTTATACAAAGGTCAAGAAATTTCCTCAGAAAGTGGATGAATACTTGCATAAACAGAATTTGTTCCAACAAACTACTGAAGCCAATTTTAATGGCTGTACTATTCTAGCTATACTATTAAAATGAATTAAAATATCACATAATATAGCTTGAATGCATTTGCTAAAATTGTTTAATTAACAAATTTATGCAGACTACTGAAATTTAATTAACAATGTAATATATTTAATATATTAAAATATGCTTTGATAGATCAGCAACTTTTAAAAAATGAAATCAAATTTGCTATTGTCAAATGTGAAAAAGGTTATCTACTAAATACTTACCAAAAGGAAGCAACAAAATGCAACAGCTCTCTTGGAACCAATGACTCTCTCATCTTCTGCTACATTTATACAGCAGTTTGTGGAACAGAGTACATAGACTACACAGGTCTGCCTTGCCATTTTTGGAAACATTTTTTTTTTCAGTGTTTGCTTATCACTGACAGTTTACAGGGCTGGATAAATTAGGGCACAATTTCTAGTACTTTTGGATACTTTCCCATTGTAGGTTGTTAAACTGGCTTCCTCTTTGCTTCCCAATCCTTTTTCTCACTTTATGTTTCCCCAATCAATTTACTTTATTAAATATTTAATTAACTTTCAGAAATTCTGTTCACACTCAACTGGCTGTGGTTCCAAAAGAAAAAAGTAACCAGGTACAATATTATGGTACCATTCAAGTTGTCATCAGGTTTTGGAAGAAAACAGACATAAAATAACTACCTTATCTTGGGATGGGATGACTCCATGCCTGAAAACTGTGGCTGACTCATAATCTCAGGTCACTTACTTCTATCTCTTCATTTGGTTATACAAGCCCTACAGCGGTTTTTTTTTTTTTAACCCAGCCTCTCAAAAGAGGCTTAGATATACTTGGAATAGGTTTACTGAAAATTCATGGGATCTATTTTACGAATAACTAATCTTAATCCAATCCACTATAAAGCACACTACAGTATATGTCCCAAAGGTGCTTTTTCAAGAGGCAACTGGACTTTCTTGTTTGTCTTTGAAGATGTTTCACTTCTTATCCAAGAAGCTTCTTCAGCTTTGACTGGATGATGGGGAGTGGAAGGATTTATATTCCTTATGGACAGCTGGTTGTTTGCATTCTTTTAGAAAGTCATTGAGGCCACTTGGAAATTTATCTGTGTCCTCAAGATCACCTGAGTGGTGCAAATGGGTGTGAAACTTCTAAGTGGCCTCAATGATTCTCTAAAAGAATGCAAAGGACCAGCTGTCTGCAAGCAATACAAATCTTTCCATTCCCTACCATCCAGTCAGAGCTGAAGCAGCTTCTTGGATAAGAAGCAAAACATCTCCCAAAAACCCAGAAAGCCCAATTGCCTCTTGAAAAAGCACCTTTGGGACAACCATGACCTGGATGACTGGATCACATAGACATATTATGTGTCAATAAGCAGTTATGTTAAGTTGGGAGATCCAATTATACCCACAATTCTTTTAAAATTATAGCCTGACCAAGGTGCCTATGGTTATATAGTTACATGGTACATCTTCCATTCCCAATGCCAATCCTCCATAAGGCTTTTTCTGACTTAGAGACCTGAAGCGATTCCAATTCCCAATTCCAGAACTGGCTCAGTATTCTAGTGTGTGTGAGGCTGGAAAAAGCAGCCCTCACATGCTCTGCAAAATACCTATAGCAAAAGTACTTCTACTCAACAGGAAGATGAGATAGCTCAGCATTCACAGCCTGTAGATTGCAGCTTCTTGCAAATCAATAAACATTATATACAGGGATTATAATATATACTCCTCATTGTAAATTCAAGGCATAATAGTGATCTTCAAGTATTTTATGTGTATGAAGAGGTGGAGCAGATTTATTTAGTGCGACTTGAGGGTAGGACATTGCAATAAATATCTTTTCTTTTAAG